TATCATAAAAACAAATATATTTTAAACATTCATTTGATATGTTATGTTTCGGCTTGGGTCTAATTGTCCACGCTCAACTGACGTTGCCTGTAATTGGCCACGGTCCCCCCTTACGTTGTGGCCAAGCTTCTGGGCCACTTCCTGGAGTCGTGGAGTTCTTCCATTACTAGTACATTTCATAAAAGCGTGTTTTTAAAAAAAGTGTTGTTTTTTTAATATTACTTATTTAAGTTTCTTTTTTTTTGTAGGAGGAAACCAGACTGCCCGGAGCTGTCCACACATGAGCGGAGACCGCTCAACCATCACTTCACGCAGATAGTTTAACACGCCGGCTGCATTCAAGATATAGAAACCATCCTGGCCCTGCAGGGCGATGTCCCCGTTTCCACGCGATCCACCCAACCTTCAATGAATGAGTAGCCTGCATCACTGCCATACTGAATACACATACTGTATATATAACAGACAATAGTATGTTTAATCGCCTACAAAAATAAACTCGCGATTTATTCCATCACGCTATGGCTTTCTCGACAGCAGCAACATTTAGGCAAACAGCCACCCTCTGGACTGGTTTTAACTTCTTTTACGAGTCTCATTCGCAGGGAGTGGCCAGTTTAACAAATGCCTCCGCGTTGCGTATTCTGTCACGGCAAGAATCCTCCGTGATCACCGTGGGGCACATTCACGCCAGTGTGTTCGACAAACACGTGGTCCAGAACAGAGGCGCAGCGTGAGTGGCATGGCCCCCGTGTCCAAATTCTTCTCCTCTTCAGAAGCTGGCGCTTAGGCGACCCTCCCCCTCCACTCTGGGCACGTGGGACCCCGGTGCAGCTGTATCGCTCGCACACTCGATAGCTAATGCACTGGAGTAAAAGTACTCTTGGTACGCGGACATAATTTTGTTTACGTTACTATTGGCGCTAAAATAGACCTCTGCTTATGTGTTTATTATTTTGCTGCCCACAATCCACCAGGACGCGGCGCACAGCGAGTTGGTAGAGGATTGTCATGTCGCCTAGTAGCCCACAAGGCCACCAGTAACTGCACAACAACAATAACTATGCATCTGTAGTGCTCGACTTTACGCGGACAACTTCTGTCTTTCTTCGAACACCGCTTTATTTACAACATTCAACATGTCCTCCACACTCCACAGCATCCAGGTCACCACAGCACGCTCGCCGTGTTCCGCTCGTCTCGCTCACCACCTTTGTCTCCCCACTATCACTTCACTTGCTTCGCACTCACCGACTCCCCATTCAGCAACTCTGCACACAGCGTCTTCCCACACAGCGACTTCGCACACTCCGCACACAGCGTCTTCAACTCCGCTATCGCTACGCTCACTCCACTGCTAACTACTTCGTCTCGCTTCACACTCTGTTCCAACTCCGTTTCCCACTCTTGTTTCCAAACTCCACGTCTCCCTCGTCCAGCTTCCAACTCGCTCTCTGTGTGTCTCCCACAATTTATTCCCATTCTCATTATCGCTAATTAATTGGCCCGCGTGCCTCCGTACGCTTCGCGTCCTCAAACACCTGCCTTTCTCCAGACATCTCGACGCCTCCTCGCCCCTGACAACAGCCACAGCCAATCACCGCCGTTGCTGATCCTCTGGCTTAATTGGCCCAACCGTTACCTCATCATCCCAGCCCTTGCACCTGGCTGTCCTAACACGACCCACGCTGTTTTCGCCTTCTCCACAGGATGACCCCAGATAACCCCACACTGTCCGTGTGATCATGCAATCGCGCAGTTTCCACAACACACCTTCATACTCCACTACACATGTATACACACACGTTATACTTTATAATAAGGGGCCGTCCATAAATGACGTCACATGATTTTTGACCGCCCCCCCCCCTCGTCACACGGCGTCACAAAAAGTCAGACCCTCCCCCCCTCAAATATGACGTCACAAAGCTCTGCCCCCCTCCCCCCCAAATAAAACATGCTTCAAATCGCTTTAAACTATTGTCATTGTAGTGCGTATTTAATGTGGCGCTGCACTCTGATGTTGTAGGAGAAAACATTTATTAAAAAGCATATTTAATTAAGTAGAACGTCTTGTCTATATTTATTTAAAGTTGCACATTTTGATGTGACGTCACATTACTCCCCCCTCGTCACAAATGTCTGACCCCCCCCCCCCAGGTGCGTGACGCCATTTATGGACGACCCCTAAGGCACATGGGTTTCAATCAAGTCATCTATGGGGGGGGGGGGGGGGGGGGCGCTCCGTGAGGGCACTCGCGAGCGGAGAGAGGGGCCCGTCACCCAGGGGAGGAGTCCCCACTGGGGCGAGAACTCACCCCATTCATCTCCGAGCCCTGCTTTAGAGAGGAACGCCATAGAATAGGCTGACGTTTGGAGGCAATGATGACCCCATCTCAACGCTCTCAAACGAAAGGTTTCTGGGGTACCGACGTGTACAGCCCTTTTGTCAATCCACTCGTGGATGGGGGGGGGAGGGGGGGGCTTCCCCACGCCATGCGGGTCGTGGGGGTTATTTGACCATACTTCACCACGCATCGTCAGTGCGCATTGGTGACGTCGGAGAGTACAGAAGTGCAATACAACAAATGCTGTTGCTGCCCGGTCTTCTACGTCCGACAATGCATCCCGACAGACTCGAAATAAACGTTGCACCGATGCGCGATGAAGAAGGCCCGTTGTATTGCTATGTTACCTACGATAAATATGTTGGTACCCATTTTTAGGCAGTGCTATATTGAAGAACGTATTGGCGAGTGGTTGTTCATAATGGAGTTTTGTCGGGGGTTAGATCGCGTAAGTATTCGCATGCGTCGCAAATAAATATTTACGCCATCTAACCCCCAAAAAACCTGTATGATAGATATTGGTCGCCAAAGCCGACTACTTGTTAAACCGAGTGATTGTTGATTTGAAGCTTTCGTGACTGCAGGAATCCATACTCTTTGGTTCTTTCGGTAAAGTCACGTAGGTAGAAAATTAACAGATCACGACGTTTCGATCGCAACACAAGCAACCGTCATCAGGTGGGACAACCACTGCCAACGTAGCAGCATCGCCAAGCGTTGTTGCGCACGGCGATCGCCCATCCAAGCAAAGCAATTCCCAACCACCGCTTAGCTCCGGAGATGTGACGCGACCGGTTGGCGGTGGCGCGGCCCAGATTTTCTGAACAGAGTGGAACACCACCGATGTGCAGAATGAACGCCTCATTCGAGAGCCAAGCATCGCGTCCTGGCTTTGACATTCCTCGAAGGCACCGGTAGGAACCATCAACCGCTACCGGTTCACAAATGCGCAACGAGGCGCATTTGTGAACCGGTAGCTACTCCTGACGCAGCTATCTGGCTCAACCACCTTAATGTCTTGCTACAGCTGCTGCCCTACATCAACAACCGCCGTACGGAGAAGACGAACCCGCATCAGAGCATCACCATCGCCTTCATAAATGTAACATTCACGGCACAAGCGGTGCGATGGTGGCAATGCGACCCAAACTTTAGTCCGTATAGTAAACAACTGCAGTCGGCGCTCCTTTAACGGAGGAAACGCAGAAACTGCAACTCTGTCTTCTCTGCGACTGCAGCACGCTTCCCGTGCAGAGCCGACCTCAACGTTGGCATTTAGAGCTCGTGAACGCGTTTGCCCATCGCAAACAAGAGCATAATTCGGCGACGGTTCTGTTAAACTGTGCGCCAGCCCAGCTCGTGAATTATTATTATTATTAATCCATTCTTCACACCGTGGACGGCTGTGTGTGGGGCAACGCCCAGATTGACTCCGCCTGCAGGCATTACCCACACGGGGGGGGAGGGGGGGTGATTTGCCGATGTTCCCGTCTCATCACCAGCGGCGCCACACCATGCCCTCCTCGGAACCAATTGGCCCGGGTTTTTCCCCACGTAACACCCACGGGTCCTCGCGACTCAACCACCTACTCATGCCTGACCAACCGTGTCGGTTCAAATACAAACCAAGCCAACGCGAGCTACGGGTCTGCGATGATTACAAAGCACGCGCCACGTGACGGTACAGAGAGCAAAGGTGTACAATTAAGTACTCCCGATTTTACGCACACACACAAAGCGTTACACACACAATGTCGCTCTCTTAAATCGAGGGAGCGCTCCCTCCACGTCACACGTGACAAAATCACAAAGGAAAAGATCCCCCAGATAGCCTTTAACAGACTTGGAGCAAGTGCTGCTAGCGAGCACCATACTAAGGCTGGGATGGTGTGGGGGACGTTGTGGCCAGAATGACACCCGGCCACCTTCAGCTAACCCTCCTGCGAGTGCTGATGTTTACACACCCAACCGGGTACTCGTTTTAAAAGGCTGCCTCGACTTATGGGAGGGCCTGCGAACCGGTTCAGATATCACTCGCCTTGGCCAGGAGTCAAACTCAACGTGCTGGGTTCGTTAGTGCAGTGCGTTAACTGCAGCGCCTCTGCTCCCTACATCACACGTGATACAATCATCAGCACGATTTGTGTCTGAACGGCAGAATATGCGCAACACGAAAAATAGCTACCAGGGTAGGGAATAAAACATCATTTGAAATGTGGTGAAATACAATTGGAGAAATCTACAAATATGTACAGTCAAATCCCGAGTTACGTCGGGGATGCGTTCGTGAAAGGCGCGACGACGGATATGGAAACGATGTAAATGAAAACGATAACAGGGTAGGAGGATGCGAAGGCTGAGAGGCGACGGAAACCAGACAGGACAGATGGCGTCAGTGACGCAAGTGTGGGTTGAGGCGACGCAATCCAGGCAGTGGTATTAATAAAGTGACGACGTATTTGTGAAGTTACGTAAAAGGGGGAGAGACGTAATGAAATGTGGGGAGCGGTAGTGTAGTGGTTGGCGCACTGCGCTACGAACACGGCAACCAGAGTTCGATTTCCCTTCACGGCCAACACCAGTAACGATTATCTGAACCAGTCCTGGGCCTCCCCTAGATCCACTCAGCCTCAAATGAGTATCTGGTGCGGTGTGTAAAATCATCGCCACTAGGGAGACAAAGACGGCCGGGCGTGGTGCTCGCCACCCACCCCCTCGTGTACCGTTTTGGCCTTCAAAGGGCGCTCGCAAAAAGCACTTGCCCCAACAGTCTGTTCGGCTATACAGGGAATCTTTGTCCCTTTTAATCAATGCGGCCCCATTGGCAGATGTGGCTACTCCCGCAGTACACGATGCTGCTGCTGCTGCTGCCCTAAGCTAGACGCTGCTGCTGCTGCTGCCCCCGCTCGGGTGCCGCTGAAGAGCCTGGAGTGCGAGCAACTGCCCTGGTCACGACTGCGGCTCGACATGGGAGCGCCGCTCCCCTCGAGGCGTCGTCGCATGTGGCTGAAGCTGGCGATGATAGAGTCGGAGTTGTGGCTGTAGATGAGGCTGCAGCGGGAGAAGTAGCGCCAGCAGCAGCACCAGGCTCCCTGGCTCCGGGAGATGACGCAGTCGAAGACGCTTGAGACGCAACCGAGGACGCATCTCCGGAGAGTGATGTCGATGCAGCAGGAGATGCAGCAGACGATGCTGCTGCTGCTGCTGCGTCAGAAGATGGAGAGCTGGGATGGCTTTGGTCCGTGGGCGTTGGGCTGGGGAGGGGAGAGCCGAACTCGGCTTCCTGCTCCATCTGCTGCAGCCTCTCCAGCTGCTCCAGCTCTCGGCTCGATGGAATCGAGTCCTTACGGGGGCGACCCTTGGGCTTCGTGGGGGAAAGCAAGCCGCTGCCTACCACCTGAAGAGGCACACGAAGGGGAAACTCACTCAAGGAATCCCTCGGCAGCATGCTCGCCCACTTACTCGACCACATATGCATGGGTGTATGTTGAACATCTTTCGCAACGTACGTAGTCAACCATGATAACACTATGTAACATAATTTTTGTTCCTGGGTATACTGTGTTATATTTTTTTATTGCTTATTGCCAAAAAGTACAGAAAATGGCTATGATTCCCCACAAACTTTGCTTTTGTGACCAGGACTTTATGTGAACGAATGACACAAATGCACACCACGTTTTCTCATTGAAAATAGGTAAATTTAAAAATATCACTGTCCTGGTCACAAAAGCAAAGTTTGTGGGGAATGATACCAAATTTCTGTACTTTTGAAGCATAAGCAATTAGGAAATAACACTTACTACCCAGAGTTGCTTTTGTTACACTGTAATCGGACGTGCGGAGGAATGACGACAAACGAACTTATACTCGTTCACCTACACACTGGCTCGCTCCGAACAGCCTCATGTCTAGACTTGGTGCATGCCAAGCCGTGGCTGCGAGTGTTTATTCGTGCCTGTTCACTCGCCAGACATTGTGCACCAGGTGTGCTGTGTGCTTAAGGATCACTGCGTCTCACTGGAAGATTAATTCCTGTCCGATGAGTTGCCTTCCTGAGGAAATTAAGCGAGGCATCAGAAGATAGCTGCCGGTACTTTTATGAGCAGTCAAGATGCACCCCGAGTGTACCCCAGTTTCCTGTTAATCACCGACACCGCTGGCTGTGATGCAGCCCCACACGTCTGTCTGATCCACCACCGTGTTACAAGGACCATTGAACAAACTGTGGATTAAAACGCGGGATTCATCGGCCAACAGTGCAGGTCTCCAGCATTGCCCATCGCACTGTTTGTGGCCTCATTTGTAATCCTGGAAGTCTATACTGTACTGGATTCAATCTCCACTTAATTAATTGTCCCTATTAAATTGCTTCGCTGTCAAGATCTGCGTGCAATTTTCCCTCTGGTCTCAGGATTCTGTCTCTATCAATGCCAACATTTGCTAACATTTCTGTCTTGGCAATCACCAAGCTTCCTGTAAATACGTATACAGAAAATCAGTTATGCGAAGGTGAGATTTGATCAGTGAAATGACGAAGGAAGGGCCCTTACAATTTTCTTCCATTTCATGCGCCGATTCTGGTACCAGGTTTTCACCTGAAGTTGAGTTAGGCCCAGACATCCGGCCAAATCAATCCTGTAGGGAGACACGACAACACCAAACAACAACACTCACAAACAACAACAACACTCACAAACACAACATAAACTCATAAACACACTCCACCTGTTGTGGCAGTTATTGGGACTATTTCTAACTCATACATTATCTCTGTCCGTTTAAAACTCGCGGATGGTGGGGGTGGGTACATTGCGGACACGTGAACTCTCATAAAGTCTATGCTCATGAACGAAACCCGAGTGAAGAATTGCCTCTCTATTGGGGACTTTACGTGATCGTGACACAGCAGCCAAATTAATCAAAGGGTTGCCCAAAACTTAAAACCATTCAAAACAAAACTGATGTTATCATACTTCCCAGAACTGGCGCACGCTGGAACGCATTACAAGAAGAGCCATTTGCCGTGATCCGTGAGTTCGTCTACCCCGTGAGCTCGTGAGCTCGTGTGCCCCGTGAGCCCCGTGTACCCCGTGACCTCGTGTACCACGTGTACCCCGTGATCTCGTGACCTCGTGTACCACGTGTACCCCGTGAGCTCGTGTACCCCGTGTACCTCGTGTACCCCGTGACCTCGTGTACCCCGTGTACCTCGTGTACCCCGTGTACCCCGTGATCTCGTGACCTCGTGTACCACGTGTACCCCGTGAGCTCGTGTACCCCGTGACCCCGTGTACCCCGTGACCTCGTGTACCACGTGTACCCCGTGAGCTCGTGTACCCCGTGTACCTCGTGTACCCCGTGTACCCCGTGATCTCGTGACCTCGTGTACCACGTGTACCCCGTGAGCTCGTGTACCCCGTGACCCCGTGTACCCCGTGTACCCCGTGACCCCGTGTACCCCGCGTACCCCGTGAGCTCGTGTACCCCGTGACCTCGTGTACCCCGTGTACCTCGTGTACCCCCCCTTGCTGGCGCCAGTGGCTCCCCCCCCACGCGCGTCCTGATCAACACGCCGGCGATTTTGGACGATTTTTGACCCCCTCCCCTCCCCTCGTCACAAAAAGTCAGACCCCCCCCCACAAATATGACGTCACAAAGCTCTGCCCCCCCCCCCCCAAATAATAAAACATGCTTCAAATCGCTTTAAACTATTGTCATTGTAGTAGTGCGTAGAACGTGTTGTCTATAATTATTTAAAGCTGCGCATTTTTACGTGACGTCACATTTCTCAACCCCCCCCTCCCTCGTCACACATCGTCACAAATGTCTGACCCCCCCCCCCCCCAGGTGCGTGACGTCATTTATGGACGGCCCCTTATCCGGATATCCGGTTCGATCAAAGCAGAAGTTATTTCTCACAAAGCATGGCGAGCGCACGCGCGGCGTCGCTAGCGCACCCACAAGAGTCGCTCGCGAACTTTTCCCCTTCTCGTATCGTCCCCTGGCACTGCTCGACATTGGAATGAATGATCATCCCGTCGTCGCCGTTCCGCCAAGCTCGTGTGACCGCGGTGGCGAGATGTTATCCCTCTTCGCCTGGTATGCAGGACGGGGGCGTGGGGTTCGATACTATATGGATTTTAAGACCGGGAGCAAGTGGAGGGCTTCACCATTCTAGCAAATTTCCCGATGATGCTGGATGTAATGACCAGCGAAACGTCGTACTCACAAATTGTAAATGATGTTGATTCACTCTGCAACACACCGGTGGGCTAAAGTGGTGAACTGTTTGGCCGTGTCGGGTGGTGGAGGGTTACGACACATTTATAAATAACGCGATTTCACCCAAAAACCTTTCTTATGAATAATATTAGTCGCGAAAGCCTACGTGTTAAACTGGATTTAAATGTTAGCGTAGTTATTTGATATTGGCAGATTCATTCACCAATGACTGTCATGGACGATACAATTTCACACATTTATGAATCACATCACGTACCCCCTGGGGTCCGCGTCCCCCCGGTTGAGAACCACGAATTTAACCTCAAGAAACGTATCAACTCTTACCAATTACAACTTTGAGTGATGCTGTTTGCTCCGAGCCGTTGAGCATATTTGAGTCCTTTTGGCCTGTTGAGCAATTGTGTTAAAACAAAAATACAAGGGCACCCCCACCACACGCGCTCTGACTCACCTGTCGGGCGTGGAGAGGTACTTCTGCTTCTCGAACTTGGTCTCGAGGCACGTGAGTTGCGACTCAGTGAACACTGTACGGTTCCTGCGGAGCCGCTTAGCGCAGCGGTCCCGCGGGAACGGCGGGGCCACGGGGGGCACCGCACCCCCGCCGGGGGCCGCACTCCCCCCGGCTGCGGCCTGGGCCCTGGGACCTGGGTCCGAGGAAGTCGCAGATCCCCGGGGAATGGCGGGGATCACCCAGCGCGGCGCGGGGGACAGGAAGGTGTAGGGTGCTGAGAGGGAGAGCGGATGGGGGTAACGGGCCGTGGGGGAGGAGGAGGAAAGAGCGGGGGGGGGGGGAGAAGTGAATGAAGGAGACAGATGACGAAGAGGTAATGGAGAGATTAAACAAGAGGAGAATGTGACGAGGGATGATGAGGGGGTGATAGCGAGTCGCACCATGACAGATGTAAGTAGAGACAGGGAAATCACGAGAAAGATGGAGAGAGGCAGGGGGTGACAGGAAGAGGAGGCAGGGGGTGACAGGGAGAGGCAGGGAGAGGCAGCGAGAGGCAGGGGGTGACAGGGGGAGGCAGGGGGAGGCAGGGGGTGACAGGGGGAGGCAGGGGGTGACAGGGAGAGGAGGCAGGGGGTGACAGGGAGAGGCAGGGAGTGACAGGGGGAGGCAGGGAGTGACAGGGGGAGGCAGGGGGTGACAGGGAGAGGAGGCAGGGGGTGACAGGGAGAGGCAGGGAGTGACAGGGGGAGGCAGGGAGTGACAGGGGGTGACAGGGAGAGGCAGGGAGAGGCAGGGGGTGACAGGGGGAGGCAGGAAGTGACAGGGGGAGGCAGGGGGTGACAGGGGGAGGCAGGGAGAGGCAGGGAGAGAGTTAGGAGCACTCACGTGGAAGCGCGTCCATGCTGAATGTGCTGTCACATTGTCACCATCGAGTTTTTATTGCGTTGTTATCAATACATTTTACGATAAAAGGCCACCAAATTATACCAAATATCAGAGACAGACACATCCATCGGTGAAATTTAAATTACTGTGAAAATGACCTGTAGTGAATGGCACGGTAATTCGTCCCGATGTGTCACGATTTAGTGATCATGTCTGGCGGCTTGGTATGAGCCGCTGTGTCTAGGCATTAGCTGCGTGCTGCACCGCTAACATCACAGCTGCTCGCCGTGTCTAATAACCTCGCCTTGCCCTGGTTTAGACGCAGTGGTCACTGGGTGAGCATCACACTCACCGTCCCTCGGGTCAAAGTTGAACTCCACCGTGACGTCGTGATTCTCCGCATCCCTTGTGAGCAGGGGTCGCTTCTGCCTGAAGTCAGACGAACATTCGCGGTCACGGCAATGCCGACTGCAATCGTCGCGAACACGGACTGCGTAACGGTGGAACGATTCACCGCTTCTCCGCGCAGAGACTTCATTGACACGGTTTAACACGTGGGCTTTCGCGACCAATAGCATCCACAAGAGGTTTTTTTGGATTGATCGCGTAAATATAAAAATATAAATGCGTCGTTAAATCTGCCACCACCCGACACAGCCAATTAGTAAGGTTTGTCACGTAAACAAAACATGACAATTTATTACTAGTACAGCACGCCGGAATTATTGATTGGCACTGCACGGCACCGCCACCACAATTTGGTTCAAGCACCGCCTCTCTTTCTCCTCGTTTCTATTGTTCGTCGTTCGGTCTGTTCCCTCCATTGGCCTAAATGTACCAATTGCAGATGGCATGCGTATACAGAATCAGGATCTTTATTTTATTCTGGAGGAATCCGATGGAGCTGTAAAGCTCTTTTTCACAGATGTCCAGTCGGGGCGGGTCAGAAAGTGACAACAAAACAGTACAACAACAAAACAGTACAACAACAAAACAGTACAACAACAAAACAATAAAACAAAGTATAAGAAAGGTAAGCAAATCACAAAAAACTTTTTTATTTTAAATATATTTTCTTCTTTAAAAAGTTGTTATGCTTACCTTGCCTATACTTTGCACTCCTATTGTGTTTTATTTTAATAAAATAAAAAATACAACTATTTTATATTTTACCAGATAAAGCCCACTATAGCTATTAGCTTTTTTTTTTACAGAAGCAACCAGGCCACAAATGGTAGCTCAACGAAGTGGCGTATCGTGTGTGAACGTACAGCACACAAATAATAGAAATAATCTAAACGCATATTCTTGGTTCTTTCGGTAAAGTCACGTAGAAGGGAAACAAAATAATACAAATATAAAACAATAAAATTCTCACGACGTTTCGACTGCAACACAAGCAATTATCATCAGGTGTGAAACCCACAACAAGAAAATTTGAGGTGTTGGTCCTACCGTGTTTCAGGTCTGCTTTGTGTTCACGAATGAGAGATTCGTTCATGAGGCTATCCACATATACAAACACAGAGACAATTTCAACCGAGAAGATGGATTCTGGCTTAGCAATCATTGGAAGGATTTGATAAACCATTTCGGGTCTTAATTGATTGATCACGCTTAAGGTGGCTTTCAGACCGCATCCATTATTTTTCGTCTCCCCCCTCCTCTTTTCTGAACATAGATGGACTCGTCCATCTGAACAAACTGTCAAATCTCTCTCCGTGGTGCTAACGTTAAAAATAACCGCCACTTTTTTCAAATTTTCTTGTGGTTTTCACACCTGATGATGATTGCTTGTGTTGCATTGTTTTATATTTTTATTATTTTATTGTTTCCCTTCTACGTGACGTTACCGAAAGAACCAAGAATATGAATCCCTGCAGTCACGAAAGCTTTAAATCAAAATCTAAACGCATGTTTCTAAATGTGAAGGAAAAAAAAGCGGAGGAGCCTGGAGAAAATCATCTACGCTTGAATCTTGATTTGAAGCTTTCGTGACTGCAGGAATCCAAACTCTTTGGTTCTTTCGTTAAAGTCACGTAGTTAGAAATACAATAAATCACGACGTTTCGGGCGCAACACAAGCGTCCATCATCAGGTGTGAAAGCATGCCTCAGCAGTAGACCATGCTTTCCCACCTGATGATGGACGCTTGTGTTGCGCCCGAAACGTCGTGATTTATTTTATATTTTATACCTACGTGACTTTACCGAAAGAACCAAAGAGTATAGAATCTACACAACCGCGGTGAGAGCAGGCGTCAGGGTCGGGGTCAAGCCACCGACCTCCTGCGTAGCAGGCGAGGAAGATCACATCACCGTAGCGCCCCTTTAGTAGATTAATATTACTTAACGATTTCGTGTATGTCGCAAATAATAATTTCGTACATGAACGGAACTTAAGAACAGATTCACGAGCATTATAAACAAATATATGGTTCACTCGTTCAATCACTCGGCTTAGCCGTCGAGTGTGCAGGCGGTGCGATTACACCAGGGCCCATCGGGCATTAGGGGGGTGAGGAGCGTGGGGGGTGAGGAGCGTGGGGGGTGAGGAGCGTGGGGGGTAAGGAGCGTGGGGGATGAGGAGCGTGGGGAGTGAGAAGCGTGGGGGGTGAGGAGCGTGGGGGGTGAGGAGCGTGGGGGTGAGGAGCGTGGGGGGTGAGGAGCGTGGGGGTGAGGAGCGTGGGGGTGAGGAGCGTGGGGGGTGAGGAGCGTGGGGGGTGAGGAGCGTGGGGGGTGAGGAGCGTGGGGGGTGAGGAGCGTGGGGGTGAGGAGCGTGGGGGGTGAGGAGCGTGGGGGGTGAGGAGCGTGGGGGGTGAGGAGCGTGGGGGGTGAGGAGCGTTGGGGGTGAGGAGCGTGAGGAGCGCGAGAGTGAGGAATGCCTGGAGCGGTGGTGTAGCGGTTTGCGTGCCACACTACACACCCAGCAACCCAAGTTCTCGGCCCGCTCGTGACCAACAACAGTGACGTTTATCTGAACCGGCCCTGAGCCTCCCCTAGTTGACGCATCCTCAAATGAGTACCTGGTATGATGTGTAAATATCGCCACTTAGGAGCCAAAGGCGGCCGGGCGTGGGGTGTTGGCCACCATCGTGTACCGTTCAGGCCTTAATAGGTGCTCGCTTAGAGCACTTGCCCCAAAAGTCTGTTTAGGCTAGACGGGGGATCTGTGTATTTGTCTTTGGTGAGTAACAGGAACGGGTTAAGGGACAATTGCTCGAACAGAGCAGGACTCTGTTTGGGGGGTGGGGCTTAGTCTTCAGGGGGGTGGGGCATCGCCACCTCTGCCCCTCCCCCTTACCTCCCCGTTACCATTTAAACCCGGACAATCCATATTTTATTGGCGTTACTAGATCCGCCTCTGTCTGTAAAGCCGTGCCATTGCTTTCCCTGTGTTGTTGTTGTCGTACTTGCGTCTGTCCGATGTCGCCAGGTCCAGGAAGGAGTCGTCCTCGCTCTCCCGTCCGTCGCTGTCGCCCTTCAGGATCTCCTCCACCATGAACGATATATAGCGGCGCCTCGGTGCCCCAGGGGCACCTGGGAACCGCGGGGGCACGTTGGCACCCATGTTGCCCGAAGGAGGGAAGAGACCATGGGTGCCCGAGGGGTAGAAGAGCTCGGGGATCTCGTCGGGATGGAGGTGCCCTGGCGGCGCGAGGAGGCTTCGCTTCTCCAAGGTGGCGAGCGCTCCACCCAGGTGGCCTCTCATCGCTCGCCCCGGGGGCGTCAGCCTCAGGTCCATGGGGGAGTGCTGCGGGTCACGTGACATGTTGGGGCTGCGAGTGGAAAGGGTTTGTGGGGGGAAATTTAGCAACCACGAAACGGCTCATCCCCTACAGGACCCTTACCCATCCCATACAGAACTCTCCCATAACATACAGAACCCTCCTCTCATCCCATATATAAACATCATCTCCTCCCATACAGAACCCTCCTCTCACCCCATACAGAACCATCATCCCCTCCCATAGAGAACCCTCCTCCCATCCCAAACAAAAACATCCTCTCATCCCAAACAGAACCGTCGTCTTACCCGATACAAACGACCATCTAATAATTATCAGGCATGTGCAGCGTCTAGCGGCGACCTTGCATTTGAACGCAGACGACGAGCGAACGTGATTAGGCGAGCGGTGGTGACGGAGTTTGGGAGACCCTGGCAGCATCATCCCGCACGAAGTAAGCGGCCATGCGTGGCGTGTAACGCCTCTGCTCAATCGATGATGATGATGATGCTGATATATCATTGTTATTGTAACATTTTTTGTTAACAATGTTTGTTTTACCTTTGTGTTAATGATGGTGCGTTAACAGTGGCTTACATAGCGTTTCCGATGTCCTTTCAATTAAATTAAATGCGGAAAGATTGTTTGACACGGTTAGGTAGTCAATGACACATATGCAACTATTTTGTTTGTTGACCGGATTCATGATTAGAAACATTCGCGTTGGGTGCCCAGGTCTTCACCCCGGCGCCCAGCCAGCGCAGGCAACGCAGCTCGATCGGCCGGACCCCGGCGCGAGTTCCCAGCTCTCCGCACGCCACGTGCGCAGCTGTGCGCTGGTGGGGGGTTGGTGGATCGTGCACAGATTTATCCCGGGTGATGCGATTCCTGTATCGGGCCCTGCATGGGGTCGCACATCTCAGAGCGCCCCGGTGATCTTCGCACGATCCACCCACCCGGGTGTCCCGGGAAATATTTAAAGCAGAGATAAAGATCCCCCTTTATAGCCCAAATACGGAGCAGCGAGGCAAGTGCTGTTGACGAGCACCTATGAAGGCCGGGACGGCACAGTGAGCATTGGGCGACGTTCACTTGCTGCTAATAATGCCCTTCCTTCGTTTTGTGATCCTCGAGATCTGTTCAGGAGGAGGGTGCTGCCTGCATTCGGGAGGCTTGGACAAATTACATTTGTGCGTAGTTGGGAAGTGTGGCAGTAATTTGGAATTCCCGGAGAAACCCACGCAATACGGAGCGATAATCGCTCGGGCACACGAACGGAACCTGCTTTGTGCTGCCAAACCACACATGCGCATGATGCGGACGATTTACATAATCGTGTGACGGTATCCGTATATTCTGGGTGTAATGTGTGCGCCAGTATATGAGATATATACAGACACACACTTGAGGTGCACATTATATCGCTACTTGGCCTGTATAGCGAATTTGTCTAAACTGCAAGAGCAACAAAAATAACAGTGATAATTATACAAACCACCACAATCGTAAGAGGCCAATTCGAATTACACCTTTTGTTTTGCAAGGGAGAGCTGGCTGAGATAAGACGGCTACCGCCATCACAGTCATAAAGCAGAGAGCGGCTCTCTGGACAGCGCGGCGAGTTAAACGCAGCGCACCTTGAATCAGAGCCAAACTCAAACTTCGCGTTTGACACGTAGGCTTTCGCAACCAATATTATTCATAATAAATGGGGTTTTTTTGGGGTTTAATCGCGTAAGCATAAATGTGTTGTCTTCTTCTTCTTTCGTATGACATTGTGAAATGCAAGAGTTTTTTAATTGATCGTAATAAATGTATGCAAAGGTTCCTCATCCAGTCCAATGATGATGTGGTTGACGCAGTGTGGATTTCAGCGACACCGCCAGGATGTGCATGGATGGAGCATTCATCGGTGATGTGCTTGATGGTTTAGACTTCTCCACAGCCGCAGTTGGGCGATTCTTTGCTCTTCCATTTACGGAACGCGTACGCGCATCTGCCGTGTTGTGTTCGAGCGCGGTTCAGTGTGGTCCATAGTCGTCGTGGAAGCGAGAATCCCGGTACTTCCACAGTCGGATCGTGAACGATGTTTTTGTTTGCCACGTCCATAGCCGCCCATGATTCAGACCACCGAGTGGCGGTGTCTTTTATTTTCGGCTGCTGGAGCGGAGGCGCGTTTCCAAGACGGTTTCCTGGGGGTTCCTTTAGATCTTGAATGGAGCGGCAGAGCGAAGTTCTTCATGATCTTGTTGTTGTACTCCCGTGTCGTCGCATCATCGCGTCGGATGTTGGCCGGAGCGATATTCGCCTCTTCCATTTACGGAACGCGTACGCGCATCTGCCGTGTTGTGTTCGAGCGCGGTTCAGTGTGGTCCATAGTCGTCGTGGAAGCGAGAATCCCGGTACTTCCACAGTCGGATCGTGAACGATGTTTTTGTTTGCCACGTCCATAGCCGCCCATGATTCAGACCACCGAGTGGCGGTGTCTTTTATTTTCGGCTGCTGGAGCGGAGGCGCGTTTCCAAGACGGTTTCCTGGGGGTTCCTTTAGATCTTGAATGGAGCGGCAGAGCGAAGTTCTTCATGATCTTGTTGTTGTACTCCCGTGTCGTCGCATCATCGCGTCGGATGTTGGCCGGAGCGATATTCGCCAGCACTGGAAGCCACGGGAGTGGAGTAGACTTTAGGGAACCGCTGATGATACGAAGCGCGTTGTTCATTTCGGCATCGACAAGGTTCGTGTGAGGGCCTGGCACCCCACACCGGGGCACAGTACTCCGCAGTGGAGTGACCGAGGGCCTTCGTCGATATCTTCAACATGCTGGCATCGCTTCACCCAGGTTGTTCCTCCAAGTTTCTGAATAATATTCACTCGTGCTTTCATTTTACCTTTAGCTTGCTTGAGGTGGTGATGGTACATTGAGGGGAAAAAGTATTTGATCCCCTGCTGATTTTGTACGTTTGCCCACTGACAAAGAAATGATCAGTCTATAATTTTAATGGTAGGTTTATTTGAACAGTGAGAGACAGAATAACAACAACAAAATCCAGAAAAACGCATGTCAAAAATGTTATAAATTAATTTGCATTTTAATGAGGGAAATAAGTATTTGACCCCTCTGCAAAACATGACTTAGTACTTGGTGGCAAAACCCTTGTTGGCAATCAGAGGTCAGACGTTTCTTGTAGTTGGCCACCAGATTTGCACACATCTCAGGAGGGATTTTGTACCACTCCTCTTTGCAGATCTTCTCCAAGTCATTAAGGTTTCGAGGCTGACGTTTGGCAACTCGAACCTTCAGCTCCCTCCACAGATTTTCTATGGGATTAAGGTCTGGAGACTGGCTAGGCCATTCCAGGACCTTAATGTGCTTCTTCTTGAGCCACTCCTTTGTTGCCTTGGCCGTGTGTTTTGGGTCATTGTCATGCTGGAATACCCATCCACGACCCATTTTCAATGCCCTGGCTGAGGGAAGGAGGTTCTCACCCAAGATTTGACGGTACATGGCCCCGCCCATCGTCCCTTTGATGCGGTGAAGTTGTCCTGTCCCCTTAGCAGAAAAACACTCCCAAAGCATAATGTTTCCACTTCCATGTTTGACGGTGGGGATGGTGTTCTTGGGGTCATAGGCAGCATTCCTCCTCCTCCAAACACGCCGAGTTGAGTTGATGCCAAAGAGCTCCATTTTGGTCTCATCTGACCACAACACTTTCACCCAGTTGTCCTCTGAATCATTCAGATGTTAATTGGCAAACTTCAGACGGGCATGTATATGTGCTTTCTTGAGCAGGGGGACCTTGCGGGCGCTGCAGGATTTCAGTCCTTCACGGCGTAGTGTGGTACCAATTGTTTTCTTGGTGACTATGGTCCCAGCTGCCTTGAGATCATTGACAAGATCCTCCCGTGTAGTTCTGAGCTGATTCCTCACCGTTCTCATGATCATTGCAACTCCACGAGGTGAGATCTTGCATGGAGCCCCAGGCCGAGGGAGATTGACAGTTCTTTTGTGTTTCTTCCATTTGCGAATCGTACCAACTGTTGTCACCTTCTCACTAAGCTGCTTGGCAATGGTCTTGTAGCCCATTCCAACCTTGTGTAGGTCTACTATCTTGTCCCTGACATCCTTGGAGAGCTCTTTGGTCTTGGCCATGGTGGAGAGTTTGGAATCTGATTGATTGCTTCTGTGGACAGGTGTCTTTTATACAGGTAACAAGCTGAGATTAGGAGCACTCTCTTTAAGAGTGTGCTCCTAATCTCAGCTCGTGTGCTCCTAATCTCAACTCGTTACCTGTATAAAAGACACCTGGGAGCCAGAAATCTTTCTGACTGAGAGGGGGTCAAATACTTATTTCCCTCATTACAATGCAAATAAATTCATAACATTTTTGATATGCGTTTTTCTGGATTTTCTTATTGTTATTCTGTCTCTCACTGTTCAAATAAACCTACCATTAAAATTATAGACTGATCATTTATTTGTCAGTGGGCAAACGTACAAAATCAGCAGGGGATCAAATATTTTTTCCCTCACTGTAATTAAGCGTCTGATCCAAGGTAACGCCTAGATACCGAGGATGTTCATCATGCCTTAGCTTCGCCCCGCAGAAGTTAACATTCAACGTTTGCGAAGCTTGTCTGTTGTTCAGGTGGAAGGCGGAGACGACGCTCTTGGATGGGTTTGGCTTAAGGCACCAATTCTTGAAGTATTCTTCCAGAGTCTTCAGATCTTTTTCGAGGACTGCCTTAGTGTCCTACATTTTCCGTGCTTGGGTTGGGAGTGCGATATCATCCGCATATGTGAACTTACGGCAAGATGTCGCTGGAATGTCGCTAGTATAGAGATTGAACAGCGCCGGTGCCAGAACCGATTCCTGCGGGAGTCCATCGTGTCGTAGCCCTCCACCACCCGACACAGCCAATTAGTAAGGGATTTGTCACGTAAACAAAACGCCAATTAGTTACTACTTCAGCCCCACCGGTGTGTTGGAGAGTAAATCCACGACATTTACAATTTGAGTAGTACCGCGACGTTTCGCTGGTAATTACAACCAGCATCATCGGGCGCTTTGCCAGAATAGTGAAGCCATGCACCTGCTTCCGATCTTAAATATAGCAGCAGGGCGACGTCATCAAACTTCGCAATCAAAGCACGGTCGCCGGCACTTTACGCCGACTGTAAACAAAGACGGAGCGAAGGAAATAGCTGAGAGAGAAAGTG